AAAATCACAGCCGGCATTTTGACTGACAAGAGAAAAATTTCATAGCCACCACTAATCATGCTGGTCATCAGAGAGTGCTGTTCCGATCACAGCAAAAACGAAAAAGTTATGAAATGTTTTGATGAAGCAAAGAAAAAAGTGATATTCAAAAGTGATAAGAAAACAGAAGCATGCCTAAAAGGGATTCGAATCTGTGTATGATTTCAAAAAAAAAAAAAAACAAAAAACGTACGTTTTTCACTTGCAAGTATATGTGAAAACTTAATAAGCGCCCATTGGCTGCCAATTCAGAGAGACCTCTCAGAGCGGCTATTCGTACACGTGAATCACGATCCTCCGCCGCATCCGACAAAAGTTCTTCCAACAACAAAAAATCCTCATCCGAGCATTCCTCCTTGTCTGAAAAAGTTACCTCAACCACGCGTCTTCAACGACAATCAACTTTACATCCGTTGCTGGAGAAGACAGAAACGGAGCATCTTTTATATCAGCCGAGCACTACACGACAGAAAGCGTAAAGTACGCTGGATAAAGCTGTTGCTGGGATAAAATGGGCACATCATCACCCAGGTAATGCAGAGTTAGAGAACAGGTTAAGAATAGCGTATTCAGAGGAAACAGGACGGAGCTAAGTCATCGTCAGGTTTTCAAGCAGTGCAAAATCCGTTCAAGTGCCAAGGAAATGCGAAAAATGCAGTTCACGCCAGAAAACTCAGTCAGAGATGAAATTTTCACGAAGCAATGCAAATCCTCATCAAAAGAAAGCAAAAATTCATCAAATGCCGCAAAATCTGCCACAAAAAGCAATAAAAAAACACCACAGGAATAACAAATTACGCTAAAGAGCGCCAAAAAAACCTCCGCAAATTTGTTGCTAAATATGACATACATGCAGTTCAACAGAGATTTTTATTTCGGATAAAGAGGAATTTAACTAAAAAAAACAGTGAAGATACCTTTCAAGAAAGCAGTAACAAAGTATTTGATGGCGACCACTCGACTGTTGTGATCGTTCGAGCCCAGACACTCTTCCGCCATGGAACTGATTCGCTGGATGTACTGGTCCATTCTCAGGCCGCGAGATATTGCAAACTCAAAAAGAGCTAGCAGTGCAGCATATGTTGCGGACTGTTGATAATTACTGCAAACAAATGTGGAAAGAGTTTCATTTTCGCAAAACAACAAATAAAAAACAGATGATAAAGATGAAAATGCGAATTAAAAAGCAGAAAGAAACGAGCGAAATCAACAAAATTAGAGGAAAACATAAAAAAAGTGTAAAAAACGTCCGAAAATAAGCAAAAACCTCAAAAATAAGTAGCAAACAAAACGGAAATGAAGTGTTAACAAATACAAATAAAAGTAAAACAATGTAATGGAGTAAAAAACACAGATCAATATAATCTATCGATAAAGTACTGTGATCTGGCTGTAGCAGTATTCAGACGAGTTATAGTGTTGCCCAACAAGTACATTTGCAAGGACGATGCTGAGCAGGTATTTCCCACAGGAGACGAAACGAACGTCAGAATCGCTGGCAGGCAAGCCACCCGGCCAAGCAGCACTGGTCAAAGCAACTGAAAAAGCTGCCAACTCTACGGCAAAAGAGCTGCACCATGAATTACAACATGTCCAACAAATATGATAAATTAGCAAAAAAAAAAAATTTATATGTGTGAAGAGATATCGTCGTTCGAAAGTAAGGAGGAGAGGGATCAAAGCCCCCTTCACATTCATTTTCTGTGAAGCGGGGACACCCAGAAGCAGCTCAGATGGGTCACGCGCTACAACAACCATCCACTGGTTAGGATTCTAATAGTCTGCCAAATTCGACAACAATTTAGAAACAAACTGATGTTGAATTTTATATCCTGCCATTTAGCACCGAAATGTAAGTTCAGAAGAGAGAAGCAC